AAATTTATAATTTGTGCATCCACCGTGCATCGTACGGGTGAAAGACTAGTGTGTATAAAACGCACTTATCAAGGACCTAAAGGGAAATGGGAAATAGTTGACGAGTCCCTAATAATTAAATAAAAAGTTATCTAAATAATCCTAAGTCTAGAGAGCATAATATATAAAAGGGATCGAAGTGTTAGGTTGCACCCAACAAACGCTTGTTTAAGTTCTTAGCTTGACTCCTGTTGTTTCTAGACTCTTCATGGTGGCTTGAAAAAAGAATTTCCAGCCCTGCACTTTATGCACTGATTACACTTCCTTCTTTCATCTTTCACCCCCCAAATAATCAAGTTTTCATTGTTGTCCCAACCAACAATTCACCTTCATATGGCCTGCCCTTAACCTCCTAATGGTCCACTCTTTAGCAATCCTCAAAGTAGAAAGGCCGATTGAGTGGATTTTCCATAGTGAAACTCTATTGCTTATCCTCCACCTCCAGGACTATGTCGTTTGTACCAAAATTCAACAAGACCCAACTTGTTGATATGAATGTTATTCCCAAGATTATTGGCATCTAATATACCTTTTCTATGTCCAGAATGATGGAGTTAGCTGGACAAATGAATTTCCCTACCTTGATAAGCATGTCTTTAACTATTCTGTAGGGGTGTTTCAAAGATATGTCCACCACCTGAAGGATGATAGAAGCCGCATTGGGATCTCCCAGTCCCAATTTCCTGTAAAGAGGCAATGAAATGAAGTTAATACTTGCTTTTGAATCAATTAAACAATTAATACCTTGTAAGTTTCCTGTGGAGTAAGGTAAAGTAAAACTTACTAAATCTTTAAGTTTGGGAGAGATCCTACGTTGGATGATCGTGCTGCACTCTTCAGATAGTGCAATTGATTCATGCTAAGGCATCTTCCTCTTTTCAGTCAATATCTCCTTCAAAAACTTGGAGCAGTTTGGGATTTGAAGAATAGCGTCAATGAATGGTATGTTGACAAGCAACTTTTTGAGGACTTCCAGAAATTTCGTGAATTGCTTCTCTAGCTTGGTATTCTACAACCTTTAATGAAAAGAGACTAGCAGTGTCAATGAAGTGCCAAGAAATTTGCTTTAAGCTGTAGACTGTCTGATACTATCTGTTGATCCTTTTATGTTGCTTTTTCAGACTGCTCCACTGGTTCTTTACCCTTAGTAGGCATTTGAGTTCTCTTTGTCTCAGTTCTCTTTGTAGTGATTTCTGACAATTAAAAACCAATTTTGGTAGTGATTGCTGGAGTTTGCTCCTCCTTTGTTGGCTGCCTCATTAGCCTCTTGGGGAATGTGATTCGTGGTACAAATGCTAGTCTCTTTTCATTAAAGGTACCCTGTGGTCTATTTACAATTACAGTTACCATTTGACCCATATGAGTTTCCAAATTCTTGATTACAGCACTTTGATTATGAAAGACTATCTATCCTTGTAATGAATTTAGCCAATATGTCTTCCAATGCTGAATTATGCTCTTGTTGTTGTTGAAAACCCTGTTGGACTCACTGATTCTAATAGTTCCATCCCTAATTGTTGGCTTATAAGGAGTTAAGCTGTTTGTTCTAGTCTGGACGGTAGTTGTTGTTGGGGGGGGGTAGTTTTGCTACCTTTGGAAGTTTTGTACATAAATGACCTCTATTGGCTGACCCATGTGAGTGGAAGCCAGATGGTAGCTTGTAGTGATGTGATCTGCCCTACAACATGTGCAAGCCGGAGCTGGATGTTGTACCATGTACACAGATTGAGTTAAAGTGTCAAGCTTCTTTGTTATAACTTCCATCTGTGCTGCCACGCTATTATTGCGTCCACGTTATGCATCCTAGCTGCCTTCTTCGGAGCCTTCCTGTCGATTAGCCAGTTAGCCTGATTCTCAGCAATCCTTTCATACGGGTTGAATGCATCATCGATCTCCAATGTCATAACTGAACCACCCACTAACGCAACTACCATATCGCGAAATTCAGGGCGTAGTCCATTGTAAAGAGATACATCCGTGCTTGCTTGGGAATGTCAAGATTTGGATACTTCCCAAACACGCTCTTGAACATTTCCAATACCTCCAGATATGTCTCAAGATCCCTCTATTTAAAAGTATAGACTTCGTTTCAAATTTGGTAGACTCGAGATAGCGGCAAGAATTTTATGGTAAATTTTTGCATCATGTCATTCCATGATACCATACTCCCGGCATGTAGTGAGTGTAGCCATGCTTTTACGCTCCTTCAATGTGTAAGAGAATAGGCACATCTGAAAGGCAAGGGGATCTTTTGCACGGAAAATGTCATCTAGGAAGGTATTTCGTCAGAATAAAAGAATACGTGGTATTCATAATAGAGGCATAGATTAGGGGAGTTTTGCACCAGTTATCTTTTTAAAAAGATATTTTCAATTATGTCGAACTAAACATTTTTGGAGTATTTTACAAAATTGAAAATCAAATGCCCTTAAACGTGAAGAGGAAAAAAGATTAAAGTTAAATGTGCAATTTACATATTTTGGGATGGTTTATGATTCATACGGCGTCGTATTGCTTGCAGGTAGTCACTAATCATCGTTCTCAACTAAAAAAGAGTCTTCTCTACTCTTCGCTGAATTAACACACTAGAAAAAGTTTACATCTTTACACGAAAAATTCCCACTGGAGCGCTTCAATGGATAACCGAAACGTCGTCGTTTGTGACAATGGAACTGGGGTAATTATTCTCATCTTCAACAATTTCACTCCATCGATCGATCCACCCAGGCAATTCAAGTCCAAAATAATAAATTACTAGTCTGATTTCATCGGAATTTTCCGTATTTTCAAATTGATCTCTAATGCGTGTGTATAAATTGTTGAATACTTTAAAATTTCGTTTGATATGAATGCAGTATGTTAAGTGTGGTTTCGCGGGTGAGAATTTCCCCACATCGGTATTCCCGTGCGTAGTCGGAAGGCCAATGCTGCGATACGAAGAATCTCTCATGGAACAGGAGCTCAAGGTCGGCTTTTTCCCTCATCGCGCATGTGTATTTATTTCTACATTGATTATTTATTTTATTTTTTTTAATGAAAAATCGCTTCAGTGTTTAGATCGCACGTATGATACATGTGAGTGTATGACGATGAAGTTAAGTTCAACTTGCCACTACTCTTATATTGGAAAACTCATTATGTTCTTCGCTTTGGGACGATTTAAGATCATTAGATAGTTTATCTAGTACTGAGAATTTTATGAGTATAATCAAACCACCACATGGGTGGGAATTTTCTTAAAATCAGAACCCAAGTACAAAGGAGGAGACTAGGCCAAGACTTCCAAAATAGTAAACAATAATAAAAGAGGCACCACACCTAATTGAAATCAATTCGGAACCAAACGAACCTAATTAAAATCAACCAGGTGCCAACACAAAAGACTAAAGACGAGCAAAATGAAAAGAAAAAATACCTCATGAGCCAAACTAACGTCCTCTTGATTTACTTGTAGTCAACATTTGATATTTGGCTTCAGTTTTGCAATGAGTTAAAAATCATCATGATCATCTTGGAGGGAGGTGGAGTCAACAATAAAATTCTCTCCAAAGAGAGATGACGCAAGCCATTGTTGGGATGATACATTCTCGAAATCTTTTTTAATATCATAACCTACAAAATTGACATCTTTTCCCTATATTTTTTTCCAATTAGTACCCAGCAAGACCCATAAGTGCAATATCTTGTTCAACAATAGTTCTCTTTATCCCTAGACATAGAGGCATTCAAGTTCATATGGATAAGGTGAAGGAACATTGGGGCGAGTATACTGATGTTGATTGTTGCTTGGATTATGTTATGTTTTCTCTTCAGGACATTGTTGTTGGAGATACTTGTTTAAAGTACCGGCATCAATTGGATATATCTTATCCTGTCAACAATGGTATTGTGCAAAATTGGGATGATATGGAACATGTTTGGGACCATGCATTTTATAACGAACTAAAGGTAATCTTTTGATATCTTAACATATCAGTAAATGGTTTAAGTAATCTTCAGCATATGTAGTGTGAAATTATCTGATGTAGTTGTATTTTCATTATCTTATACCCCATTTTCAAGGTAGATCCAAAAGAATGTAATATTTTGCTAACAGATCCACCTCTAAATCCATCTAAAAACCGTGAAAAGATGGTTAGTCTTCTCCTTCTAAAGTCAGATGTTTTAAATTTTTCTTGATTCAGATTTTTTATTCTTGAAAAGATTACGTTATTCACACTTTCAATATCTCCATGTTACAGGTTGAGACTATGTTTGAGAAATACAACTTTGCTGGTGTATTCATCCAAATTCAAGCTGTTCTAACATTGTACGCTCAAGGTGCTTACATTTAAATGTGCATGTGATACCGTTGATTTGATTGCTTGAAATTAAAACCATTTTACTAATTGCTGAATTGGGATCATAAATATAGTTTGCTTTTTGACACTTGTTAACTTTCCTCTTGAATTCATGTTTTATTATATATGACTATTTTTTTATTCCTTGTTAACTTAAAATTACTCAGGTTTACTGACGGGACTAGTCATTGATTCTGGTGATGGGGTCACTCACGTGGTAAAATTTTTAATATAATGTATCTATTCTGTGTTTTAGGGTATGATGCTACTTCGATATTTTTATCGCATTCCTGGAATACATATATAAGTTGTTTATTTGCTAAATGTTCTGGAAAATAATAAAGACACTCAGACTTGACAACTGAATGTGAAATAGGAATATGAGGCAATCTTGCAAAGTATGATTAATATTTCATTTTTATATATATAGCATTCATTGGTTTTGTTAAATGAAAACTGGTGTTCATGTTCTTCATGTATACACTAAGGGAACGTTTCTCTGTAATCTAGCATTGAGGTCTAATTCAAAGTTGATATTAAAATATCATATAAATCGATCTCAAAATATAATTTTAGCCAATCACTAGTCACTACATACTGGAAAAATAATAAGTGTTATGCGATATCTTTCACATTGATATGATGATACCTAAACTGATCTGCTAGTGATAAAGGGTAGTGTAGATCTACAAGGTTGGTTTGGTATCATTGGTGTTGGCAATTTCTCACCATTTGATTCAACTGATTAATTTAACTTCTAACATAGACAAGTTCATTAATTTTGGAATAGTGATAGTGATTGTAACGGTGTGGTTTCTCTAGGTTCCAGTAGTTGATGGATACTCATTTCCTCATCTTACTAAAAGAATGAATGTAGCTGGGCGCCACATAACAGCTTATCTTGTTGATTTGCTTCTTAGAAGAGGGTGAGTATTCTTAGAATTCAAAAATAGCAAACTGCAGTATCATTGTTGGTTGTCAAATGATACTCCAACATTAATAGATACCACTTTCTCTGAAGGTATGCAATGAATAGAACTGCTGACTTTGAGACTGTTAGGGATATCAAAGAGAAGCTCTGCTACATAAGGTGAAATGGTCTTCTTATTTTCACGGGCTTGTAACTTAACTTAAAGGTTTTAATGAATTGTCTAGTTTGCTGCAGTTATGATTACAAAAGAGAGTATCAATTGGGACTTGAGACTACTATCCTCGTAAAGAACTACACAGTAAGTTATTTCTTTTGTACTCCTATCATTGCTCTGATGACACAAGAAATTTGAAATTACTAAGTTTATAAATCCTTTGCCTTTATGCATATCCACACACTCATTTGACCGGTCATCCTATTTCATATTTGGAGAGCTATAAATTTGTTTGAATTTTACTGTAGTGTTGACCAAGAAAGACCGTTTCGAATTTGGTATCATAATCTTAGTAGTTTTCATTTCTACTGAACTTTTCTATGAGCACATTACCCAACTATTTTCATGTTGTGTTTGATTGTATTTTTATAATTGGAGATGTTATAATTAACAGCTGCCAGATGGAAGGGTCATTAAAGTTGGCACGGAGCGGTTTCAAGCACCTGAAGCTCTTTTTACTCCAGTAAGCATATACCTGTCATTTAATATATACTTCGAAAGGTCAAAGCATGTTTTTGTTAAATGTTGAAATTGGGTTCTATGTCCTGTCAACTATTTCTTTATGTGATATTATGGACAAATGTGGCCATATCATCCCACTGATTCTTGTGGTTTAATATGTTTGCTGCATTGCTCAGTACAGTAATGTGTGTAATCTGATATTGCCTTCTTTAAAACTGCGAATTGGTGGCATGAGTAATTAAGACAAAAGCTTAATTTGTTTGCTGCATTGCTCAGTACAGTAATGTGTGTAATCTGATACTGCCTTCTTTAAAACTGCGAATTGGTGGTATGAGTAATTAAGAGTCAAGACAAAAGCTCAAGTTCATGAAAAATGTTTGGAAGATTCCGATCATGTTCTCCAATTACACCTGACCTGTAATATATATTTTTTAATTGTGATTAGCTCTGTGACATCAGTGTATTCAAGTATTGGTTTACACTGCCGTAAAACCTTTATCTTGGGCTTAAATATAAAGTCTAGATGGTATATTTTTTATAGGAACTCATAGACGTTGAAGGAGATGGGATGGCTGACATGGTATTTCGTTGCATTCAGGAAATGGATATCGACAATCGAATGATGGTATTAAAATTCTCATAACTGAAACATCTAATATATTACATTGTTTAATTTCTCATGCAATATTGATCCCTTGTCTTGCAGCTCTACCAACATATCGTTTTGAGTGGAGGAAGCACGATGTATCCTGGATTACCTAGTCGGTAAACCGTGAAATTCCTCTTTACTTTATATAAAGCTACATCTTTTTGAACGTGTTCTGTAATATTATGATCCCAATCCTTAAAAATTTCTCATGTACCTTTTTTTATTTTCTTGACCAAAGAACCTATCTCCGATAAAGTGATATCAATATTGCGGTGACTACCTATTAGTGCTCAGTGCACCATGGTCTCTCCCCTTAAAAAAGAAACATTTTTGTATAGATTCCTATATTTCAAGTCAAAGATGCATCAGTAGAATTCGTGGCATAACTATTGTGTTTTTGAGATCCAACTAAGCGCTCAAATGTCGAGGAATAATTTATACAGAAATGGCGGATTAAATCTTTTCTCACGTTTTCTCATATTAATTACTGTTCGTTGTGATTATTGCAGAGCTGGTGTTTATGTTACCCATTTCAAGCACATTTTCAATGCTACTTGCTGCATGTAGTACATTATAGCCTAAGAATGCATTCCAAATTTTTAATTAGGGAAAGCACTATGTGGAAGCTAATTGCCACATATCTGTCTTGGGATGAATTACCAAGTCATGTACATTTGTGCACGTCACATATAGTTCCAGTAATTTGAGGGGTGACTAGTTATGAGTAAGCTATGATCGGCACAAAGTCTTGGAATGTGATCTGCCAATGATCATTTCAGACAAAATTTTATGTACATTAGTACAAATTTGTTCCTGAAATGCATAATATTATTTCAGATAACTAAATGATGTATTTAGCAATTTTATTTACTTCGGTATATAGTATACCAAATCCATGGGGCACCACATATTGGTTGGCATGAGAATTCTCTTGGTTTTACGATTCTAAAGCTTGCTGAGCTCTGTATTTTGTCGTGGGCATGTTAAGTAGAAAACTTATGTTTTTACATCTGTGAAACTTTTCCTTTTCTTCAGCCTTGAGAAAGAAATTTTGGATCGTTATCTTGAAGTTGTTTTGAAGGGAAACAGAGATGGGTTGAAGGTAAGTTCACCTCAACTTTATCATTTATAGGCACCTTGAAATTTTGGGCCAGTATTTTGTAGGCATCTTCTATTTGCAGTCTCCTCATTCTTTTTTCTTCCTTTTCACACCAAGAGAATGATGTCCTCTTTTATCGTTCCTAAAATAGAAACTACGGCTGCGGATAGAGGATCCACCACGAAGAAAGCATATGGTGTATCTTGGAGGCGCTGTTCTTGCAGGAATCATGAAGGTTCATACTCTTTCTCAACTGTTACTTCCCTGACACAACATCATTCATGTGCACACAACGCATAAAACTGTTTCTTTTAACAAGTTAACATCAGTTTCTTAGGGCTCAAATGAGGTCCACAATGATCTTCTTGTTACTTTTTGAAAATGAGGCATATGTAGTTGGAAATAATTTTTGTTTCCAAATGTGTTTGGATATGCTATTTTTTTCTTGAATTAAGCTAGATATATATCCTTGATTGACACCAGCCCTCTAGGTGAAAGGAATCTAGTTAGCGATGTGATGAATGTGTTTAAAATCAATGGTGTAGATTGCTGTCATATGGAAGACTGTCAACTTAATGTCAACAAATATTTACATGTAGCATGATTGTTTTTTTTTACTCATTTCAATTTTTAACCAATAAAAAGTTATTTTAGTCTGAAAGTACTTATTCATGGCTTACTTTACGTAAACTTTGTTAAGTGTACTTGAACATACTAATAATTTAGTACTCGCATGGAGTCCGTAAGTCTCCCTCCCTAAAATAATTTAAAGCTGCATAAGACATGATCCTAAAAATCGAGATCATTTAACAATATTGTAGGATGCACCTGAATTCTGGATTAGCCGGCAAGATTATTTGGAAGAGGGAGTTGCTTGTTTAAGCAAATGTGGCCAGGCGTAAACTTCATCGTTTTGTTAGATTTTATCGTCACTTCATTATCTCCCAAACATAAGCATAAGAAGATGAAAACTCCATGTATCATTGACAGAAGTTGAGTTGCCATTGAAGAGTGTCTAGGTGATGAGTCGGTGGCACTGGCATGAACGAGGAAACATTTGCAGTGATGTAGCGCATGTAATTGATGTATTTTTTATATTAATTAAAAATGAAAGGTTTTTTTTTTTCCCTCATTTGAATTTGCTGCCATATTTAGTTTTACAGTTGTATTACCCATTTTAAAATAAAAAATTCATATAATGCATTCCAACATTTTTTATACCATTATTACTGCATTTTACCAAGTAAAAACCATAAACAATAAACAACTATATGTAAATTGATTTCATTGGACAGTTTCTATGACTTCACCAAATAAGCCCCAATTGTATTTTATCGAAATCCCAAAATTGTANAGTAATTTTTTTAAAAAAAAATATTTAACAAACTGCACAGTATTTTACGAATTATTAACGTAACATAATATAATTTGAAATTTTATTTTGTAATGATGTAAATACGAATTTTACCGTAAATTAAACTAAAGCCCATCTTTAAAATGATATCAACCCGTGTCCAAAATCCATAGCCGCCGAAGCCGAAAACAAATATTGGAATCCAAAAGAAAACAATTAAAGGGAAACTTACAAAATTACCTCTAAAATTAGAGGTCATATGAAAAATCATATATAAAGATTCTAAAAGTAAAAAATATTGTGTAAAACTAAGTGTAAGTGACACAAAATTGACACAATGTCACTTTTTAAAATTGTCACTTTTTTTAATTAAAAAAGACATAAGATGTCACTTTTATTAAAAACCCAGTTTATCACTCAAAAAAGTGATAGAAAAAAGTGAAACACTAAAAGTGATAGAAACACTCAAAAAAGCGACAGATTTTTTTTTTTTTTTAACAAATTTAAAAGAGTGAAACCAAAAACCACCATCCAAATTGCAATAATAAATAAACACGAGATTGACATGAACATGAAAAAACATAGGCATCATTTTTATGAATTCTGTTGCTCTCTCTACATCCATAAAATATTCATTTCCCTTTTCCTTTTCCCCAAAATAAAAAACAACAAAAACAATTAATTAAATAAAGAGAAGACCTCAATAAATTCATTCAATTTAGAGTAATGTTATTCATCCCCAATGGGGATGGAAACACAGTCTAAGTGGCTGTAAATGATATGTGAAATTAAATGACTTATTTCATTTACAGCCACCTAGACTGTGTTTTTATCCCCAGTGGGGATGAATAGCATTACTCTTCAATTTATGCTTAATGGAAAAATATTCAAACAAGAGAAAATGCAATATATCTAGAACCCAGTTAATGAGATTAACATCCTTATTCTCAGCTTCTTTTCCTGTATTGTTGGGTAAACACTTTACATGAATGATGAATTTTCATAAATTGTGCATATAACTGTAGCCCAAATATCACAAGGTTTTGCGCAAAAAAGAGAGTTATAGAAAATAATGCAAAGAAGTATATTTTGTAAACCTCCAAAGTCCAATAATATCGGAGATGGCACTCGTTGGAATGATGATTGAGGCTGAATCTAATTTTAGTTTCATATGGGGATAGAATTTGTTTCTATTGCAACAAAAAAAAAAAAAAAANAAAAAAAAAAAAAAAAATCAAAAATCACCTAAAAGGTGGGAATCGAAATTCAACTAAAACCAAGAAAATGGGTCACGCAATGACAAATGTAGAAAACCAATTCTTGGGGGAAAAAAAGTGACATCAGATATGGTAAAAGTGGGAAATTGAATTTCAATTCCATTTTTTGGTAAAAAGGGCCAATAAAAAATGCCATCAAGTGTACCTGGCCTAATTTACCCAAAATTAAAATCATTACCCAGCCCAAACCTAAACCTGGATATCCCATCTCATCCCTCTCTCCCTCTGCGTTTCTCCTACAGCTTTACTCGTCTGTCTCTCGAAATACTAGGCATCGTCGACACCAGCCCTCAATTGATTGAGAATCTTCTTCTTCATTGCTCCGAGGTAGGCTATATAAGCTCACTCTTTTAGATTTTTTTCTTCTCCATTATTTTTATTGCTACCATTTTTGCTATTACCAGAAAATTGTATTAGGAATTTCATTAGACTGAATCTGGCTGAAATTTGTGCGATTTTTGTGGTGGAGGGAAGAAGATTGAAGTGTTGGGCGAACTCATATTTAGGAAGAGCATGATCTGTTATAATTCATATTTTTGTTGACAGTTAGTATCCTATTTCGATTTTAAGTTGGAATTGCTAGGTTATGCTGCATTTTTAGTGGAAGATTATGTTTTTCATATTTGAGACTTACTGTTGGAACTTTTAATTAGTACATGGCAAAATACAACCTTTGAATTAGTGAGTTTGCATTTGTAGGGGAAGATCAGGTTTTTTAGACTTGCTTTAAATGAGGGAGCTTCTAATTAGCAAATGGCAAAGTACAACCTTTGAATAATGAGACTAGAATGCATAATTTTTGTTGACTGACGTATTATACCCCATTCTTAATTTAAGATTGATAGGCTATTTTGTAATTATAGGAGTGAATTATCAGGTTATTTCAATGCACACTAACTGTGTGAACTTCCTAACTAAGGAATTGACAACTAAAATATATTAGCAGCCTCATTATATTTTAGGTTTAGAAACCCTTGTAATTCCTCTATGCAATTTGTCGGCCTTGTACATTTGGTTTTTAACAACACCAAAACAGATTATATTTTAGGTTTAGAAACCCTTTGCTTAGATTCTTTCAAGCAAGTGTACTAATTCTAGTCTATAATTGCTGCTTTATTTTGCAGTAATATTGTATGCTGCTTGGCTTCCATTTCATTTTAGAAGGTACAGTCCAAGAAGTTGCAATCTACTTCCCTCGGTAAGTTAATGCCCTCAGCTCACTTCTTCTTGCCTTCTCAGCCAAAATAATGAATGTTATTGTCTTGTCGACAAAATAATGAATGTTATTGTCTTGTCAACAAAATAATGAATGTTATTGACTTGTCGACACAAAAATGAACATTGTAACCTTATCAACATATTAATGAATTATTGTTGCCTTGTTGACTAATCAATGGATTGTTATTGTTGCCTTGTCGACTAAATGAATTATTTTTAAATTATCATTGTAGTAATGGACCATTGATGAATTTTTTTGTTTGCGATTTTTAAGAATATGTTCTTTTACAGATTGGTGATTTGACAAAAAGAAAGTGGAGAAATTTTATTTTTTTAGTTAGTTGATGAAATTTTGACTCAATAAATCTCATCACATTTAAGTTGTGATCTACATGTAGCACAATTGAAAAAGTTAGGCTTTTTAAAGATGGAGTAGACCCAATTGAATTAGGCCAAAAGTTCCCGACTGCCCAATCCTATCTTAGCCCTACACCAAAATTGATTGCTTTTACAAAACCAAAAAAATAAAAAACAATTCACCATTTCCCAGTTGTAATCTCTGTACAGTCAGTATTCACTCTTTCTCTTTGTATTGGATCTCTTATCGAACCGCCGCCTCTCAATCTCTCCATTCCGGCCGATGAGTTTTCTATCACATTCTTCTCTGCTTGGGTTTTATATCTATTTATTTATTGTATTTTATTTGTCTTTCTTTTTTCTGAAATTGCAAACAGATACATCTTCGTCTGACTTTATGCTATTTTCCAAGATTAGGTTTCGTTTTATTAATGTATGTAAGATTATGGTTGCTTGATTACTGATGCTTTTGGATGGTTTTTTCTCCTTATTGAGCTGAGGAGAACGATGTCGTAAGGTGATTGGTTGTACTCTTTTGGTTTCTGAATGTTGATTTGTGAATGTTAGTAGAAGAGATATAAATCTAACTAAGTTTTCCAGCTAAAGAGAAAAAGAGATCTTCTGGAATGCCATTCTCTATGTTGCCCATGTTTAGAATTACATTTTTCACGAACAGTGTGATCATTTTTTCTTTGGTGGCTTGCTAAAAGCATTCTTATCATTCCCACACTGTTCATCGTGACCCAATAATTTGTTGTCTTTCAAAAATTAGGCTACATATACAGTATATAGAATTTTACTACATTTTGAAGTGCACGGGCATGAGTGGCGCACTACACTACACTTGTGGCTAGCTTATGGTAGCCTTGGGTTTGTTATACTTGTAATTTTCCCATAAACATGGCTAGAGAGACTATTCTAACATGTTATTAAAGTCAAATTCTGGAAAATTAAGCATCATTGAAAATTAAGCATCATTCATTCTGTGTTTTGTGTGCATACAGATCTTTATGGATCCAGGACTCAGAATATATTTCGAATATATGGTTTACGCAAAATGCATAAGGAGGTTGTTTGAATTCTGAGACAACAGCCATCTCTAAATCTTTGGCATAGCATTCAAGGTTACGAGCGTGGAACAAGGTTTGGGTTTATAAGAACTTTCTGGTGTGGCGTCTGAGTGTACTTTTCCCTGGCACCTATGCATAGACAGGACTGAATTCTTTTTAGCTGTATTATGTTTTTGAAATTATTTTATAGGATGAAGGTAGAAGCTTTTACTAGGAATATCTTCCTTCCTAAAGCACATGTTATATGGCTGGAAAACAGTTGTTGTGGACTTGTGAATCTGTGACAATTAAAAAGATCCCCTCATGGGCATTGACAGTAAGAGAGTTTCCTTACCCGAAAGAGAACGTGGAAGCAATTAACATTATAGGTGCATAGCATCAAGGTCCTTCAACCTTAACTGAGGACATAATTTGTAAAAGGGTTTTGGACGGAACGTTAGATGTGATGGGTTCCTTTAGATGCAGAAATGGTAGATACGGCTAAAGATTTTTCAAGAGCTAACTTGATTATTAATTACGTATTTGCGTTAGATTGTGGAATACATGCTTGAATAATATGCCTAGATACGGAATAGAAAAAATCCACCAGTGGAGTTAACATGGGTATTTTAGAAACATGATGGAGTCCGATTTGCTTGATGTTTATGATGACCCTCATTCTTGCTGCAGGTACAAAGCAATGCCAGTTAATCACATCAAATTCTTCAGAAGCATTACCATCCCAAAGGAGGTAATTCGCCTAGTGAGCCATAGAACTTTTGCTGCTGGTGCTAAAGCAAAGAAAGGTTCTAAAGGCGGTGCTGCTGCAGATGCTCCAAAGGCTTCCATACTGAGCAAAGAAGTTAAATCCACTACAGTTGTTGGTGCCAATATCCTAAAGGATGGGACTGACCCTAAAGTCTTGCCTGATTCTGAATATCCTGATTGGCTCTGGCACTTACTCGATAAACGTCTGGCTCTTAGCGAGCTAAGAAGAAAAGATGTGGAAACTCTTCCATATGAGGAACTCAAACGGTTTGTCAAGCTAGACAATCGAGCTAGGATCAAGGAAAATAATTCTCTCAAGGCAAAGAACTAAGAAAGAATTCACAAGTAGTAGTCTTTGTTTTGAATTGAAAATTGACGTGTCTTTCATGCGCGGTGCTTCAATAAGTGACTTGTTTTCTGGAGGCAATCAAGTTAGGTTACGTTGTTGAATTTTTATCTTATTCAATGATTTAATCTGAAGAATTACTAACTTCTGAATTTTATGAATTTTGGTGGTGTTTTAATAATTTTGTGTTCTGTCACTGAGAAATAGCAATATAATGTTGGTTTATGTACATTGGAGCGATGCGCTTGTTAGTCGCACATTGGACATCTAAGCTAAATCATGGCCGGCTTTGTTCAAGGTGCATACTTGTCGCAGGCTTCAGAACTTCCCAAGATGTGATTTTCCCCCAAAATTTATCTTCACTAAGGATCTGGGATTCTAGGAAACTCAAGCCTCTAGCAAGGTGGGGCTTACAGAGACTAACCTCTCTCGGAGAATTTTCTGTCTGGCGCGGATTTCAAGAACTGGAATTTCTTGGTGACGATGACGGTCGCTTTCCTCGTTCTCTAATAAAGTTTTCTATTGCTAGATTTCCAAAACTCTCTAAGGTTATTGAAAACCTCACCTCTCTGCATCACCTATCAATCACGAATTGTACAAGCCTTAATGTTTTGCCGAGTGAAAACCTGCTCGACAAGCTTTGGCATCTAGAGTTGAGTGACTGTCCCCCTCTGAAACAGCGGTGTCTCAAAGGGGATTATTGGAACAAGATAGCTGGAATTCCTTGTGTCGAATTAGACGGCACTTACATTTACAGATAGAGTTCGGGTTAAGCTGCAGTAATTTTTCCTCATTTGAGGGTGATAAGTGTATTCTGTATACTTATTCGGGTCATTAAAGTAGAGTATTTGTTAGTAATTTGGATGAATTATAGCTTAATTTTGTGTTAATTATGTTTGTTAGGTTAAACTCAATGCAAATTGGTGGGTTTGGAAGAAAAGAATGAAAAACGTGCGAAAACTAATGAAATCCAAAGTTTGGAGACCGAAGTGTAAACATTCAATAGATGATTCAGACCACAAAATGATAATTGGAGATCATATAGGATCAATTAGATGCAATTGGAGATCAAATGAGTGAAATATAGTAAAAATATTTTCATGAATCAATCTCCAGCCGAAGAAATTATGCTTCGGATCTTTAGCCTTAACTTGAGACTCATTTTTCAGATAGCAAATGTTCGAATTGGAACTATTGTATTTCTAGAAGAATTGTATCTCTTTGAATTACCTTTCCAACGTATTTTGAATCAGCTCAATGGGATATATGTGGAAATATTTATGGCCAAAATACCGAAAGCTGCTCAGAGACGAATCTGCGTGCGTTCGGGCAATTTATGGCGCTGCGTACGACACTATTTTCCCCAACCCAAGAGCCATTTGGCTCTACGGCACGTGCGCGGTAGTTATAACGGTGCGCACGCACATGCCTTTTTTTGCAGACGAATCTTTAGTTTTCTTTCGCGAGTCAAACTCTTTTAGAAACCAAATTGGACGCGATTTTGACCTATTTTTTGACTCTTGTAAATAGAGAATGATGACTACACACAAAGAAGTCTCTTTCTTGCCTCTTCATACACCATAGTTTTATCAAATTCATCAAGAACAAGAGGTCAATTGCTATATTTTGAGAAAGGGGATCAAGCCATAAGAAGGAATTGAAGGTCAATTACATCAAGATTTTAGAGAATTCAATCTTTGGGCGTGAAGATCAACACCTTTTGATTTATTTCATGATCCGGTGATATTTTTCTTGTAATTTATATATCAACATGCTAGGTTAGATTCATTTTTGTATTGGATGAAGATGAACACTATTGTTTATTTGTTTTAATTCAAAACTAGTATTTTAATTTATTTCTTGCATTTCTTGATTAATTTTGCATACTAATTGTATTGTTTAATTGATTGGCCACCAATTAGATAATTGGTTACTTGTTGTAGTGTTGGAAAACTCACAATAAGTTTAGAACGCGACAAAATCATATGTGCAATAGATGTTTACTTGATTTCATACAGCAATTGACTAGCATATTGCACGATAAATGAACAACTTAAGTGCTGCTGTCCCTTTTAATTGACCTTCTGTTTACTTGCGGTTTGCCAGCATTGTCTAAAACTGTCTATGAATGGTCGACAAACACCAGTTTCGATCAAGGGCAAATGAACTTTCAATCTCTGGTGACCAACTTATTTGATTGTAAGCATTATCCTGTCTTTGGTGCTAGCTCTCGACATGCTACCACAGCAAGAAGTCCCTAAGATTATACAAACTATAAGCCTCTACCTAATGTTTTGTTACTGCATTTTCTTTAGATCAAAATGGTATGGTTTTGATTTCCACATTTTCTATGCCAATATTTCGAGGACATGCTTATCCAACTATTGTTTTTCTCGTATATTTGCAAGTAAATTTTACAATTCAACAAAGAAAAAAAAAATGAAATGCATCTTGAAAATTTCACATCTCTATGACGGTATATGTACTTGTGATTGGAGAAATTTCAGGTGTCATTTTGTTGAATCACCTTATTTAAAAGCTTAAACTTTTATAGCGGACAAATTATTTATTTAAAGTTTGTTGCAGACCGTCAATTTATTTGTAAGCAAAGGCCAACAGTTGCACGATTACATGTTCTAATGCTACGTAGACCTGCCTCACCTAACTTTAAGCTTTTCTTCAACAAATCTGGTTTCATATTTCTTATTTACTCAACTGTCAACAACACAGTGACCCACAAACACATTTTCCTTTCTTGTCTGTGTGGCAAAAGAAGTCACAATATATTTCCAAGACAATGGTATTTTTTTTGGAGAGGATTAGAGGTACCAATTCTTGAACCATTGACCTTAATGGTAGAAACAACAATCCTTAATTAATCAAGAAAAAATGAAGTAGTCTCCACAATATTGTTCACTATTACATGTCAAATATTTAAAATGCAAACGGTAGGAAAAAATTGGTTCGAATATACTAAATCCATGTCTATAGGGAGCAAAATAAAAAATGGATTAATTATTTAAATGGTTACTGAATACAGTATTACTACTTAATAATTGAACATAAAATTGTATTTCAATGGTAACTGAATTAAGCACTGTGTTACCTATTCATTATTAAAGTCGACGCAGTTTGTTGAATCTAAAAAATCTTTCAACATGTCAAACAAATTTTCTACATGGACCGTATTAGACATCCACCCAAATACATGTAACCAAATTGTGATTATTTAGGCTACAATTTTTAACGTCTTATTGGGAAACACGATTTCCTTACATAGATTTGTCCCATTGTTCCCCATGTTTTTAAAGAGATATATAAGTAACTTTACAAACCCGATTAATCAAAATATAACATCTTACTCTTTGTAATTACTTTCCAAGTAATTTTTCAAAAGAGAAAAATACATATATATGGAAGTATCGAGATACAAATTCAAATATAAGAAAATTGTTTTAAAGTTTATAGTCACAGTTAGGTACTATTCATAATCACAAAACGTCATTCACAAAGAATTTTATAGGTCACAACTTGATTTTCAGTTACAAATTATCAAATTAATTGATTACACCTTAATGCACTACCACAAATTATCAAATTAATATATCACAACTTATTTATCGATCATGAAATTATAAATTTAGTTACAAATCAAATATTTTTTTGTCACTTATTATTTATTAGTCATAATTTATTCATTTTATTGTTCACAATTGGCCAATAAATGATATTATCTTATTTTTCTCAAATTTTAAATTTGGCAATCATTTGGTAAAACAAATTTTGAAATTTTTTCAGAGAAGATTTATACTAACCCGACCTAATCTCCTTAGCCATAGACAAGTATCCTCTTTTAAGTTTGATAAACATTTTTCATTATTTTCAAATTCGATATTTATGATATAAACATCTTTACTTCAACTTCCTATAAACATCGCTTCTTTTGATATAACATCCTTAATATGCTATTTTGAATAATCAAATTTTATATGATAACATTTATCACATAATTGACTAATTCTAAACAAATTATGTTTGAAGTTATCTACTAATAAAATATTTTCAATGGAATGAGATGAGTGATTACCAATGTTTCCAATTCTAATGATTTTTTCTTTT